AAACTAACTCCCAGGAAGGTAAGAAAAACAAACATACAAGTAACAATGCTTTTTGGCTATGTTTAAGATTTTTAGGGCCATCTTGACCATTATCCTCCTAAGTTAAAGGAGGATAACTTAGATGACCAAGAGCAAAGAAGTCTTACAACCTTCTCAGATCCTCACTGAGACCCAGATGTCTGTGATCCACCTTCTTCTTGGTTCACTGACTCTTCACATAAAAGCAGCTTTCCTTGCCCCAACACCTTGCCTCTCGGCTTGTTGGCTGTCCTGTGGTGAGTGGGAGAAGCTTGGGCTCGGTTACACTTTGACCCAGGAGCAGTGAGATGGGGACCTTATAGCGCAAGCCTCCCATGTACAGCCCAGCTTCTGCTCCACTGTGAACAAGCTCCCCTTGGTGCTCAGTTGAATGTTCTTGCCTCCTGGTCACAGCTGGGATGGGCCACTCCCCACAGGGCTCTCAGTGGCAGCACCATCTTCCACCTACTTACTGTGAGGGGTGGGGGGGACGGGGTAGCCTCCCTGCTCCTCTCTGCCTTCTCCCAACCATTGTGCTCCCTAACCAATATCTCCCTTTTTTAAAGTTCGCATCACATTCAGCTCTCTGGAACTTGACACTCACTTTTCCTTTTTCTCTACCCCTTCCCCAGATATCAGTCGTTGGTTTTCCCAGGTCCCACCAATCGTTTGGTCATTCTTCTCCCATTCTGATCTAAGGTTCTTCAACATTTAAAAACATGTATTTCTATTCTACCAAAGTTGACCCCAAGCTCAGCTATTCCTAGTTCTTAATTATCTCTCCAAAGTTCCCAGGATCTCAGTTCTGCGATCTCTTTTCTCATCATTCTCCCCTCATCTGTGTTGCATTATCAACTGCCAGGCCTCTGCCTGGACTCAGCTGCAAAGTCATCAGCCACTCTGGCTTCACTTTCACTTTCTTCCCAGCCCCCAAAAGACCCCAAGCATACCCCCCCACCTGCCTTAATTCCTTAGCCCCCTTATCCACACATCAGGTCCCCTGAAGCCAGTCTCCAGCCAGAGAAGACCGCAGCATCTGCTTTCTCCACTTTTATTCCTTGTTGTTAAGCGTTACTTGAGATGATAGATGGAAGATGTGGCCGTGGTGATGGTACATTTTCTGAGAGTTTCTAGTGCCCAATGCTGGCCTGAATGTTCTACATGCATCATCTTAAACACTAATTACCTTCACTGCAATGGGATGCATGCCGTTGTATGCCACCTGGGTTTTCTGTGCTATTGTGTGATCATTTTATTTATATATATAAAATGATCTCTGTATAGATCTTTACTTGATCCTTTATAATCTTCCTCATAGTGGCTATTTCAAAGATTTAACACTCTCTTGAAGTTCACAGCCTATTCCCAACTCTGAGACAACCTTGCTTAGTTTCTTTGAAAGCATTCAACATGAATTTTCTCATAATGCCCCCTCTCTCCTGTCTCATATTCTGAGTATTTTCAACTAACCTCTCTGTGTCTTTCCCACCTTACAAGTTCTTTCTCTCCAAGGCCAATCCTTCTCTTAGGCCCTGATCCACCCCTTGTCCTTCCTCTATCTTCTCCTCTCTCATCTATCTTCCATATCTCCCTCTACGTAAGATCCTTCCCCTTTGCCTGTCCTTTAAAAACCTGCCTTCCTCCCTGCAGCCCCTTCAAACTACCAACTGCTCTCTCTGTGGGGGAACCTTCCTTGCCTTTGCAGGAATAGCAAAACAATTTCCCCTATGCTGCAGGCCTCGGTCCTCTGTGTCAGCTCTCAAATTCAAAAGAGAAGCCCAGAACCATTTGAACCACTGAAGAATGCTACTTTGGGTAGAAAGCTAGAAGCCTTGTGTAATACACGGATCTGGAAGTTTGGGGCATTGCATTTGATAGGCTATGAAGAGGAAATAATCATTTGACTGGTCTCTGTCTCTTAGTACCTTGCAATTTCTATTGGGTTGCAATGTGGACCAGGGTGGCCAATTTGGGTAGCCAATGACACAGTTCTCCTTTTCCTTAGCCTCTCTCAATTGAACTATCAGTAAGTCCTAACAATACCAGTAACTTAATATATTCCACCATTTGTAATTGCTATAATCTGCTCACTCATTTCCCTGGCTCCAACCTTGCCCTACTCTGTTCTATTCTCCTTACTGCAACTGGAATAATCTTCTGGAATTCTTCACTGGCTCCCTTGTGCATAAGGAATAAATCCAGGCTTCTTGGCCCATCACAACCCAGGCTCTGCCTACCTTGTCTCTCCTTCCCACCTACCCCACGCTGAGTTCCAGCCATGCCAATTAATTGTTCATCACATTTCCCAAGCTCTGTCCAGCCCTGGGCCTTGCCCTTTGCTTGTTGCTCATTCTTTCCACTCCCCTAACCATCCTCTATTTGTTCTTCAGGATAGTTAAGGATTCTCTTCTGACCAGTTCCTATGGGGTCTTCCTCAACCATTCCAACCTCCCACCCAGTAGGCGTAGGTCCCTTTCCCGGTGCTCCGAGAGGTGCCCTAGGCATTCCTTTACCCAAGTGCTTTTCATGCTGAGCTGTTCTCATCTGACTCTTGTCTGCATCACACAACAGACTAGTAGCTCTTTATCAGGAACTGCATCTGATTTGCCTTTGTAGTCCCTCTGCTCAGCATAGGACTTGACACATACACACATATAAATGTCTCCTGAATGAATAAATGAATAAATTAGATATTGAATAAGAGATTAAAATGGGCATTTCTAACATTGAGTACTTTGGTACTTTTTATTTTCATGATCTTGTACAGTAAGTAAAAGATGAATTTTCACAGATTAAAAGCAAGAGGTAATTAGCGTGAAAAAGAAATGAGAGACTCGGAATCGAATAGATTCTATTACTACTACTATTTACGCAGGATTAACTATAAGGAAGACTATTGTAAGTATTATATATCTCTTGACTTAACCCTCAAAACAATTCTTATTTTAGAGAAGACATTTTGGAAGAGAAAAGTAACTTATTGAATAGGTGGCTGAGCTGGGATCCAAACGTAGCTGAGCCAGTGCTTTTAACCAGCACACTGTGATGCCTGCTGTGTGGCCATAATTGTGCATAAACGTGATACGTGGATATTTACCTCACTCATCTATGCACTCACTCCAATTATTCTTGTTTGTTTTTTTCCACCTTAACTTGGAAACTCGCACTCTCAATATATTGACTTATCAGCATCTAATGATATTTGACAGTTTTTCCTGGTGGACTTTAAAAAATCTATGTCGCTAGCACCTTGCTAACAGGAAGTAATAGTGTGGGTGAGGGGGGTGGTTGACTGTTAATTACATCCATTGTGTTTCCTACATTCATTTTTTGGAATTAATTTCCTTCCATCTAAGGAAATGGCTTTTAAGGTTTTGATACCCATTTGTAAGGTTGTACTTTTTAAAATGATAGTTCAAAGAAACACAAACTATTGAGTAAAACTCAAGATTACAAAGACGCTGTGACAGACAAGGCTTTGCCACCATGTACCCCTGCACGAAGCTTCTGACATCAAAGGAGTAAACAAAGATAGAGAGAAATCAGAGAAAGCCCAGAGCTGCCTTTCTCTGTGGTAAAAGGAAGGAAGTGTTTAAAGAAAGAACATGGATCTGGACAGGCAAATCAGGCAAATGGGAAATGCTGAATAACTTGGCAAATTAAGTCTCAGAAATCATTCGGAGGCAGATCTCAGAACAGGGAGGCAAGGAGGAGATGCTGGATTTGACTTCCGGCATTTAAATTCTGGGTTTATTTTTTGCTTGTTTTATATTTTATTTTGTCTTCGTTTTTGTGGTGTGTGTGCGCGTGTGTGTGAAGGTGGGTGGCGGGGGGCAGTGGCCAGGGTATGGGAACAAGCGCAAGGGAAGAAAAGGGGCTTAAACACCAGTTCCCACGGCTTCAAAGACACCAAGTGACAAGGGTTTCTCTGCAATTGCAGGCAACGCATAGAAACAAATGGCAGTGGACAGGGGGAAAGTGTAGGGAAAAATCCATTTTGAGCCATCCAAAGGGACTCTGGGGTGGAGAAGCAAATCAGCAAAATACAGTCACCTTGGAACTATGTCTCCAGCTCAAAGAGCTCTGGTGCCAGTGTTTGGCTTTTTGATTTGTAAACAGCTTTCTGCTGAATCCATGAATATTTCCAGAACTTCTGACTTGAGATATTTTATTCTTTACCCTTCCTACTTCGAATGTTCTTTTAATAATAATGGGCCGGAGCTTATCTACATCCCGGCCAGTTTTATAAAACCAAGTAACTGCTGAGCAGAGGAAGTAGGTTTATGGTCATTTAATTTTTTTTTTAAAGAGAAATTCTGCCACCCTCTGGACAGAAACTAAAGATCTATGTCTTAGGGATTCATCAGGGAATACTCTTGTAAGCATTTGCCCCTATACATTAACATTTTTTTTTTAAATCTGCCCTTTAAAAAACAAACAAAACATTGCTCTAGATAGCATAGATGATGTATGAAAAAAAATATCTTAAAATAATCAGTTGGCTCTGAGAAATCAAGAGGAAGTAGTCTCAGAGCACATTATATAAAAAAGCCGAGCTTTTAACTCATAATCTCTCTAAAATCATCTTACAATCTATATTCCTGCTCTCTGGTCTGCAAACAGCTAAGTAAAGATTTTTCACACAATTTCAGTGGTAGCTGCTTTCATACAGTTACCTTTACTGGAAAAAAGCCCAAATTTATATTAAACATAAATATATATTTGTTGGTTTTAACTAGAGCTAACTGAATATGAGAGCAGAATGACGTTTCATTCGTAACAACACAATGGGCAGTTTGTTTCTGAAGCCCTCCTACTCTCATCCGCTGGGCAGGGAGTACTTAATGTCATGCAAATAAAACTCTCAAAACTGTAGGCATGTGGTAATTACCAATAATAACATGGGGCAAATCAAAATACAGGATGTGCCATCTTTATAAATAGCTGGAGGGAGAAAGCAGAAAGACACCCCAGTACTATACCTGGTTTTAGCAACAGGATGTAGATGCTTCTGGTCTTGCAGGACCTTGGCCAGCTGTTTTTGTAGAAACAAAACCTTTCCGTGGGCTCCTTTAATAAATGGGTGGTCAAGGAGACTTGTGACAGAAGGCCGCTTTTCAAAATCTTTAATAAGACACCTGTTTGCAAAAATCAACAATCAAAAGTACAATCTTAGACATCCTAACAATCAAAAGTACAATCTTAGACATCCTGTTCCCTTGTAAATTCGGGAGGAAGTGAGAAAGTTCATTTCTTAAAACTTGATCATTAACCTTCTATAGCTCTTTATTAATATGTACCAGAAAACAGAAAAACTAATTCTCTGTTAGTTGAATTAAAGCATCAGGAATCTATTTAAGTTTAACACAATCGATTTTTGATTGATAGTTAAACAAAATCAATTTGAAGTCCTCAGAACATTGAAAAAACAGACCGGGCAGCCAAATTTCTGTCTGAATTTTTACCACAGAAAAATGTTTTCAATGGAGTCAAGTTGATCAATCTATATACTTTATTTTAGGAGAACATGGAATTGAAATACTATTACTTCACTAGTATGTGAAATGCCCACTATTTATTTGGTAGTAAGGAAAATGCGTTTCAGAGTTTGCAAAGAAAGGAACTAATCATAAACTTCACAGAGAAAGTTCAGTGGCTTGATTTCGAATGCCTCCTGGAGAAACAGAAACCTCAGAACAGGAAGTGACTACAATATGATCCAGGCGAATTGGGATAGAATTATGCAAACAGGGAACAAAAAGCCCACTCAAATCAGGTTGCATTTAAACTCTTCTACAGTTAATTGGTAAAACCACACCGGGGTATTACTACTTTCTGTTTCAGGTAGTAGTTATAACCTTTTTGAAGAAAATAATCATTTAGTACATTTTGTTGTATGTTCTACATTATTTAAGATTATTTGGATACAAGGAAATTTCTAGTGAAATTGAATCCAATGACTACCCCTCCAATTAGCACTGCATGTCTACTCTTCGTAGCTGTCTCAGGGACAGAGAAATTTCAACATCCATCCTTTTAAGCTATCAGTCTTTAGCTCCTATTGGAGGCTTAGGATCTGAAGGCCATTCTGCCCAGTCCATGAAATAAACATCTTTAATTTTCTCGGTAGTGGCATGCCAGCAATATCTAAAACACAATATATTTTAAATAATGAAATGCACTGACAAATGGTAAAAAGTTCAGCCTCACCTTGAACATCTTTTCAGAACATTTAAGCAGAGTTCCTGAAATCCTCAACCATTAGATTTACAAAAAAAACAAAACAAAAACAAAACCTTAAACCTTTGCAGTTTTCACTTCAAAATACTTTCCCATCCTTTGCCTTCTAGTCCTGAAAAGATATTCCGTAAATTTCCCAGCTAGTCCATTTTAGAATTGATTCAGGGGATTCCCTATCTATTGGAACTGGAGCTTTCAGCTAGAAAAGCCAACAGAACCTAAATTATCTCCATTCTGCTTCCCACAGGGCTATAAATACCACCTCTGCCTTGCCATGGGAAGAAATCAATCACTTGGCTTTTATAGGTTCAAGGCCTTTTGTATAATCCATTGTATTTGCTCAGAAGAAAATAAAAAAATCAGTGTACATGCTTTAAAAAGACTTTATTCATGTTTTTACATCAGCAGACTTTCTTTGATTCCATGTATATTCGTTTCTATTTATGACTATTAAAGAAAAACAAATGCTAATAATGTTTCCTGAAAAAGAAGGAACTCAAGAGGTAGTTATATAAAAAAGAAGGAACCAAAAGGTAATCAGAAATATAGCCCGGTCTTCCTGGTTTAAAGGATGGTATATGAAAACCCTAAAATAAACGCAGTCTCCGTGTCCTCTGAGAGCTCCTACTGAAGATAGACCTGTGGCTTTGCACACCCCCTGGAGGCTAGGAGGGAGTAGACAGGTTGGGAGTCCAGGAACTGCTGGGTCCTGCAGCTAAAGCCTGCCCATGATCTTAAACAAGTCACATTTTGTCTGTCATCATCACACAAGCATGCCTGTGCCAAAGGACTTTCCAAGCAGAGAGAGATTTCTTATTTACCATACAATAATCCCCTCTCTCCTTGCTGTCTTTCTGCATTAATTGTTGAGGTTTCATCTGACTACTAGTAGATGTCCACTGAAAAAAGGAAGAAAGAACAAAGGGACAAGGACACTGTCATCAGCAGTGCAAGGTCAGAAATAACCAGGTCCCAGCACATTTGTGTCTTTCCACAAGGTCAGACTTTTATTGATGCATATTCAATCATGAACGTCAAGAGCTACAAGAAGTTCCCAAGGAGGCAGTTCTCCTTAGTACTACCCATTCATTCAGTAGTCAGAGTCACAGGCATGCAGGCTCAAGCCTACTCACAAGTCAGTCAACACTGCAAACTGTACATAGTAGGATACTTAATCAACATATAAATGCTATAGATTAAAATTTCCACAACAGAATGAATTTAACATCAAGAGAAAGGAGTTAATGAACCAGTCCAAGGAGAGTGACATGAACAGGAGAGTATCCTAGGCTGATGCAGATGGTTGTCAATGTCTTATAAGAGAGAACGACATGAACAAGGAGAGTGTCCTACGCTAATGCAGATGGTCGTCAATGTCTTATAAGGAAGAGTCCTTGACTTGGGCAGAGCCTTTGGTGGAGATGCTGAGTGCTGATCACGAGTGACAGTAGGATGGTATCTATGGAGATGGCTATGTCTAGCTGGTAAAGTCCTGTCCTTTTTATGGCCCTTGAATCAACTGGTGAGCACTCATAGTAAAAGGTTATGCCCCTGTTTTGTTGAGTGTCATCCTTATTAATGAGGCAAATATCTGGTCCCTGCTGGCATGATGCCTTTTGAAATATAATTATGATGGAGTCTTTGTCTAAGATGAAGTGAAGTCATTTATGTCACAGGTTCTCTGTTGACTAGTGCCAGCACTTCAAATGAATAAATTCAAAGGGCTAGGGGTGAAGGTGGGAGAAGTGGTAATTACTAAACAACAAAATTCATAGCATGTAGAAAGGAAAATGGGCTGAAGCTGTCTTAATCTCCCTCTTTGGGACAGGTGCCACAGGACAGTGTTCCAGGGGAGAACTGCTCCTTCCACTATTTCAGTAAGTAAATTTCCTTGAATAGGGTTTGAGAAAGACTGAGAAACCCATACCTGTTCCATCCTTATGAAAACAGATCTCTACTGGAGTATAGAGATGCAATTACATGTGATATATGAGGGCTTTCCGTGAAGTATCAAGCCATGTGTGTCTCTATTTTTCATATTACATGGGTGGATAGTGTCTGGACAACATTTGTGTCCTGTTTCACAATTTTAGCATCTGCTGGAGAAGTAAGGCTTCCAGCAAGGTTGCAAGATTATTTGGGATGTTGGAAAGGGTCTCTCTCTAGATCACGGAGGGAGTAAGGAAAATCAGTGAATCATGAAGAGAACCAGACAAAGAAACTAACAAGTAAATCTTTTGTCCCTTGAAGGTCCAGAAAGTGAAGATGAGGGGCATCCCAGTCCCTGGAAGCAATGAAAAAGAGGATTTGTTAGTTCTATGACTGGAGGGGTTGAATGTCACACCACTGCACCAGCAAACTGAAACTCAGGGTATATGGGAACAACAGTGAGCAGAGTTGTAAAATATTCAACCCTACTGGAGGATTTTTAGGAGAAGGGCATGAAGACTTGAGGGTACAGCCTGATTCTAAAACACAGCTGTATATTCTTTTTCTCATGGGGAGCAAAGAGCCAGAGTGAAATGGAATTATTATTTTATAGACAAATGGAGGAGAGTTCCCCCTTAGGAGCAGATATGCCTGAAAGTCCCACCTTACTAGACATCAGGGCATGGGCATCGTATCATTTCATTTACTCAGTGAACACTTCTGACACAACACCAGAATTAACCAAAATAAGTTTTTCACAAAAAATTATGACCCATTCCCTCAAGGATCTACAATCTAATTGAAAGTCAGAAGGACAAGAAAAACAAAGGAAATAGCAAAAGCCAGTGTTTGCTTAGGCATTTAGGATAAGAAATAATAATACAAAAGCATAGGATTTTGGAGCTCCAGAGATTGAGATTTTCTATTCTAACCCCTCTGTTGAGAAATGAGGAACCTGAGGTCAAATCCTGATAGTCAGGAGGTCAATTCCCCACCTCTCACGGCAGAACCCTTCCTACTCACTCTGTGCCGTCAAAATGGCACAGGTGCAACACATAAAATACGGGGTGTTGGTGGGAGGACCTCTAGTCAGGGAAGATTTCTTCCAGCTGGTAAGAATTGAGGTGGGTAGGTCCTGTAGGAAGTTTTGAAACTAAATTGAACTAGATTGGTGGAGAAATGGTAGAAGGGATTTCAGACTGGGGAAATGGACCAGTAAAGCAAGAAGCAAGACTAGGCAAGCCTCACAATCATGGTGAAGCCTTGACTAGATAGTCACAGCTGTGCGGTTTAGCAGCGCAGACTAGGTCAGCCGCCCTGCTTCAGCTTAGCTTCTCAGACTCCACCTTACGGGCCACTTTTCTTCCTTCAGCTTTAGTCCCTTTATCAACTTTTAACCAGGATTAACTGCTATTGCATGAGACTTTGCAGTTTGATACCCCAAATCCTCACTAAGTTTGTCAACTCATCATTTCCACCCCTTTGGGCAGGGATTTAGTGGATGAAGATGAAGCTGATGGCCGGGAATTCTTAAAATTCCTGGCAGCCTCCATGTCCTTTTTAAAAGGAAGACAGAATTTTCTAACCTGGTTTGGAGCACAAACATGTAAATCTAAGGAAGTTCTAATATACTTGTTCATTTCAAGGTTGCTTATTGAACCAGGAATTGCAAATTCTAGATACAAAGTATCTTCCTCTAGCCAAGGACTGAGCAGTTTTTATAAAAGGATGCATAAAATGTTGAACTCGGCCTGGGAGATAGGGAGCCAGCCAGTGTGACATGAACTGGGGAAAGCACTAGACACATAAAGGATTCGTCCCATCAAAAAAAGAAGCTATTAATAGTTCCCTAGTCAAGAGTTGCTAGAAAACTTTGGTGATTCTCTAAACCAAGTAAGTTTGGAACTTCATAATGCATGTGAGCACATGAAAGGTTCTTACAAGTATTGGGGTGGCTCACGCCTGTAAT